GCTGCGGTCCCACGGGTTTCGTGCAGAACTTTTCGTCCCCAGGCACAGACGCGGTCAGGCATTGATCGGATTCGTCGTCCCATTTACACTGCATGTACCGGCCAGCGCCGACGGAAGCAAATCTGTCCTCGCACTTCCCCTTTGTTTCCGGGGTCACTTCGGAGCACAATTCCTTCGAGGCCACCAACTTGCCTTTGCACTCCGGCGGGTCATCCGAAGTACGAACATCGAGTTTCAACCCCAGGCAGGCCACCAGGGAGATGAAGATCACGACCTTCTGCCTCGGATCTACTTTTGCATTCACGAAACAAGGAGCAGTTGCAACAAAGCACAGTCTCAAGAAAAGCTGGGCCGGGCTGCATTGTCGCGGCTCTGTCGCCACAGCGGGGTTCTCACTAGTGCTAAACTGCTAAACACCCTTGAGCCAGCACGAGCTCACGCTCTACAGTCTAAAGTCGTGCTCGGTCCAATGCAGAACGTGGCCTCTCAGGTACTACTTGCCAGACAAGTCGCGGTCGCAGAAACGGCCCACATGAGCCAAACCCCAAACACTAGGGTACGAAAAGGCTGGAGAGCAGTAAGAATCATCATCATAGAATCATAGATAGAAGAAGGTTCGTGTAGAAGGCTGCGCAGCTGTTGCGATGCAGTGGGATGCAGTGGGCCTAGGCCTAGGTGCGATACCGCAAGCCGTCTGCGCACGTCATCAGAAGGGTCGTCGTGCTATGCAAGGCACGCAGTGCAAGTCCGCGAGCAGGTCCAAGCTCGCTCCTGCCCCTTGTTCAAGGAGCCTTCAAACTTCAAAGCTCCTAGGGTTTAGGGTTTAGGGAACAGTTCCCAAGGCGAGTACACTGCAGAGCGGACGCGTTGAAGCTTTTCACTGAGCCCGCAAAGAGTTCAGCGGCGTCGGCGCAAGGACAAAGACTGGGTTCTTGCTTTATTGGATTTAACGTAAGATACCACAACAGGGATCTATAGTAAATCATGTGGTTTTCTTATTACGGCAACTTAAATGAAATCCCCTAGCAAGAGCCCAGAAGACGCGGCGGGACGGGGACCCAAAAGTGCACGTTGGCACTGTGGAAGCTCCCGGAGTTCCAAGCGGTGCCCCCGGGTGTTTCGAAGGCACCTGATGCCGTTTTCTGTAGATCATAGTATGATAAAACAGAACAGAATAATAAAATACCACAGAAAGATAAAGCTGTAATCTATCATCGTTCAGAAAAAGGGGACTGCTTCACCGCCGAGATTTAACAAGAGCGGTGGCCCCATGGCTCCGGGTCCAAAGTGAATTCATGGGACCCATGGGTTGCAGGCTCTTCGAGCCATAGGGGCGGTTCTAGGCCGGACGTCGCAGGGAAAGTTCAGTGCCTGGTAGGTTTAAGGTTTGGATTTGAGGTTTTGGCCTTAGCGTTTTGCGTTTAAGGACTTAGGAAGCAACCATCACGGGGTTTCCGGCGCAACTTTGGAATTTTTTCTTTCCTCCTTCCCGAAGCTGGTTCGGCGGGCGTTCCGAACCAGCTCGTAATTCCATTTTTTTGCCTCGTCCCCGTCCGGTGACCAAGCGCAGTCCTTCTGGCCTTTCTCCTTGATCAGCTCCTCGGCCGAAATCTCAAGGCTTTGGGGTTTAGGGAGGGAGGGAGGGAGGGAGGGAGGGAGGGAGGGAGGGAGAGAGGGAGGGAGAACAAGGCTCAACCACCAAGAAAAGCGAAAGCCCGAGCGGCTTGAAACTTCTCCTGCTCACGTTTGACGGCTTCCCAATCTTTTTGCATGCTGATGGCCTTCGCTTCAGCGCAGCAACTCGCAAGAAACTAGAGTCTTGGAGTAGTCTACAGCCTCTTACGTGCAGCCTCATGCCCCTTACTCTCCGCCTTGATCTGGTTGCCCTTGGACATGGCTCGCTGGCTGTAAAAACAATCCAGTTGGTTACCTGGCAGCGGCACCCATTTCCGGACTTGATCAACTCACCGTAGCCGTCAGCTGCAAGCCCGAAATTCTTGCTTACTTTCTTCCACGATGAGACGTCCGCATATTGTAACGCAGTGAGCTGCAAGCACGCGTTGTTGAAAAGAGTCCTGCAGCGCAGGAGTTGAACCTCCTCCTCTCCTGAAGGGTGAGGAAGCCACTTCAGCGCTTCATCGAAGTGCTTCTGTGTCGTGTCAAACTGCTCCCGTTCTTTGGCTTTGGATTCCTGGTATTCTCTACCATGCAGCTGCCCCAGCTCTGCATGTGCCATAGCGACGATTCCCTTCAGGCGGTTAAGCACCTCAGGCCAATGCTCCACAACCTTGCCCAGATCCTCCTGCATATCCGTAACTTCTTCGAACTTTTGGCAGATCTCTGTCGTGTTCTCAGGAAGACCATCTGGCAGATCAGACGCCATGGCAAGCGCTTTGAAAGCCGAAGCCGCAAAGGAAAGGGCCCTGGCCCTCATCAGCTTCTGGAGCAGTTTCTGCAGTTCTGGCTTCAGATTGTCCTTCAGCTCATTCAGGCCAAGGCTTTCTTGCAGCTGTTTGGCACTTTCATCTCCCATCTTCACGTTCTCATTCTCCCACCGGCCCGCAACCACTCCAAACTGCTCCATGGCTTCTTGCCAATGATCTGTCCCCCCTTGCTGCAGCCTCACAGAAGCATAAGAGTGCCGACATGCGACACTCTTCACGTTCAACTTGCCAAGCAGCTTCTCAAAGCCCTCAGCCGCAAACTTGAAGTTCTGGTTCGCATCCTCTTGAAACTTCCTTCGTTCTTCATCAGAGTAGGCTCCCTGATCCATCAGCGTTAGCAGAATCTCTCCCAACGTCATGGCTGCCGAATAGGCCTCCTGCTGCGCAGCGTTGTCCTGCTGCGCAGCGTTGTCCTGCTGCGTGGCATGTCGCGTGGCATGTCGCTCCAGCTTCCCCTTCAGCTTTTTCATGGTGTTTGTGTACAACTCTTTGGCCTTTTCGAGGAGCTGAACACCGTCCTGTGCTGTACCACTTTGGGTTTTGAGAATGAGGTCGCCACGCTTTTTTTTGAGAAATGCCAGGTTGTCGTACAAGATCAGAAACTCCAGCGGAGGGTCCTCCTCGGATGGCATTTCCTGGAGGTGGTCATTCTTGAAAGCCTCAGGATCCTCTGAGTCCTCGGACTGGGTGTCGGGGTCTGCTAATGTTTTGATTCTTCCCTCGATCGTCTTGATCGCTTTCTCCAACACTTTCTCGGGATTCTTCTCTGTGCTCTTGCGGAGATCGAGCACAAGGGCCCAGTTGCTCGCAATGCGAGCATGATGCACGGCATGATCCCAGCTGCCGGGCTGCTTTGATGCTTCATACAGTAGTGCGTAAATGGTATCCGCTCGCTGCAGCATCAGCTTCTTCTTTTCTCCGTTGACCTTAAGCAGCGCTGCGAAGCGCCTCGCCACGCATGCCGCGTTGTTCCACATCGCCAAGGCAGCTCTGTGATCTTCGTAGCCAGACTCCGCGAACTCTGGCTCGCGCAGGACCTCTTCAGGCAGCATCTTTGTGGCACAGTCCTGCATGGTCGTGAAGGCCTTCTCGAAAACGTCCTCGGATAAAGGAGACTCTTCCGACTGCGCTTTCTCAATGAGGATCTCTTGCAGAAAGCTGCGGCTCCGCAGCACATGCAGATTGTCGCTGTTCTTATCTGGATCTGGACCCTCTCTGCCATTCAAGGCCTCTTGGGCATGCTTCTCAGCTTTTTCAAATTTTCGCCAGTTCAAGAAGAGCTTTGCAAGCAGGTCGTGGCAGGCCAGCGTCTCCATATGTGCTTCACCCCGGGTTTTCTTGCGGTATTTCAGGACCTCTTCCAAGAGTTCCTCCGCTTTCTCCATGTTGCCCTGATCGGAGAAGACTGCTGCTTGGTAGGTCTTCAGAGTGTATCGGTCGTGGTCTTTCTCCTTCAGGGGCAACCGCTCCAAAAGCGACTCAAACTCAGCCAGCCTGTTCTGCGCCACCGCCAAGTCGCCCTGCTTCCATGAGTCGTAGAAGAGCTTGAAGTGCTTGTCCAGTGCCTTGTGCCGCCAGCTTGCATGATCTAAGCTCTTCAGCATTGAGCCGGAATCTGCACCGCCCGTGACTCCGTGGTCTTTCAAGACCTTCTTCGCCTCCTCCTTGCTTTCATAGCTCCCCTCCAGCTCGAGACAACGAGCATAGGCCCGAACCTGCCATGGAGCGAGACATTTCCGTCCTTCTGACGCATCTCCAAGAGCTTCAGACGTTGCTCTGTATCCGACTTCCAGTGTTTCTGTCTACGCTCGGGATCCATGTCTTTGTCCGGAGGCTCAATAATCCAGACATCTCTATTCTCGTGCTGTTTCACGCCCTTGAGGTTGCGACCTGCTTCAATTTTACACTTTCCTGTTTCATCTTCGTAGTCGTAATCTTCTTTCTGGAAATCACGCCGCAGCCCCTTCGGGACAAGGATCGGAATGCAGAAGTCAGCAGCCTCTGCCCACTTTGTGCGGATGTCCTCCCAATAATTGGCGCAGCAGAGGGGCTCTGTATCGAAAGCGTCCGTGTCACAACTGCCATAGTTGTTCAAAGCCACGCGCAGTTTGCTACCGAAGTGTTCGGGTGCATATTGGCTGGCATACAGGCCGTCTCCGAAGTGGGCGCGGTCGTGACCATATGAACACCGCAGCTCGTGAAACTTCTGATGAGCAGAGGTGATGGAGCTAAACGCAAGCTTCCCCGTGTAGTGAAACAGCACCATGAAACATTTGCAGTCGCCGGTACAAGTCTTGCAGCTGCTTCTCAGGTCAACTGCATCGGCCCAGACGTCGATATTCGTCTTTCTATGGCATAGCACTCTCGTCATGTCGTTGTGTTCATGCCTCGAGACAGCATACTGGCACTTCTTGGAATCGGTCTCAGCGTCATTAACCTCAAACGTTGCGCCGTTCACGTAGCACTTGGACTCGGGCTCGCGGTCCTGGCACTAAGAACCAGCACGTGGCAAGTAGCCCATGTTCACAGAAACATGCTACTTCCCTAGAACTGCCTCGAAGAACTTGACCAGCGGTGCATCTTCCCTCCTTGTTCTGTCGATTTCTCCCTCTTCGAGGCCCAGACGAACACGCTCCTTGGATTACTACCCAACTCTTCGAAAAAGCCACAGGACAGTTGCAGAGTCAAGGAAGCGCCAATAGAAACGTAAGCATCGCTTTGCTCTTCTCGACGTTGCTGCTGAGTCACTTTAACCGATTCTCCTTTTTCGTTCTTGACCTGGCCCACCAGGATGAGCTTTAGAGAACATTAGATGGACATGTTCAAGGACGCCCGCCTTGTCGTAAAAACTGATGGGATCCTGCAAAAGAGCCAGAAGATAGCTGGTCAGAGTCAAGGAAGCGTCAATAGAAAATTAACAACCGCTTTGTTCTTCTCGACGTTGCTGCGGAGTCACCTTCTCCAACTCTTCTTTCACGTTGATGACCTGGCCCCCCCAGGTCATGAGCGTCAGAGAACGTTGGATGGACCCGAAACCTAAACCCTAAACCCTAAACCATGAAGCCCGCCTTGTCGTACACACTGAAGGGAGACAGAGCTTCCAGGGCGCGAGAGATGGCTGCATCGGAAGGGACCTTTAAGTCCGCCTGATCCTTTTTTATCCAAAACTCATTCGCACTGCTAAACACGAAGAAATCTAGCTTCTTCTTCTTCAGGAATTCATCGGCAGTCTTGCACTCCTGGAGGACCTGCGAGCAATGCGATTCAGTCTCTTGGGGAACAGGGCACAAGGCAATGCTGTGGAACCAACTAGCTAGAGGCAATCTGGAAAGGACCCGAAACATCATTGCACGCCTGTCCACCTCAGACAGGGCTCTGTATGCAACTCGCAGACTTCTGAATCCGCATCAATCTTGCAACCGCTCCGACGTGCGTAACATGCATATAACGAATCGAGCAAAGGCCTGTTTGCCCACCTGTCTGGGCCACTCCTGCCACGTGTCCAAGGGCATCGTAACATCGTGCTTGAGTTTGAGATGCTTGAGAAGTCGATGCCCAGTCCCTGCCTCCGACTCCTTCTTCTCCAACTTCTGGAAGATTTCGGCGATGTATACGTCGCTCATGAGATGACAGCTGTATGCCTATATGCCTATATGTGGTAGACAAAACGACCTAAACACAGACACTGCGAGAGCGATTGAACTGTCCATGGCTCTGGCACATGCTTTAGCAGATTCGGACACTCCCCGAAACAGACGATGAAATGAGCATTTGCCTCTGTATTCATATGCAGTGCTCTGAGTGCAAGGATTTGAACCCAAACACGGCTCAAGGAGGAGTCTCGAGTCTACGGAGCTCGGCGTTCGTTCGCGGAGATACGGCTCGCACTGGCACAGCCCGGCCAGGAGGGGCACCGCGAGTCCCCAGAAGTGCCAGTGGTGCATCTTATCCTGTTTGACCCTCAAAAAAATCAGGGCAAGCATCCCACATGCAAGGCATTCAGAAACGTGATGTTGAACTGGACAACACACGTTCTCTTAGGAACATGTCGGATGCGGTCCGTTCACGAGAAGCGCTGGTCTCAGATCCTACAGTGAAGGATGGCTCTGCCCCGCATGCAACTCTGCACCTTCAGCGCAGGTCGCTGGGACATCACCGGCTTGGCTACCGGCCACGAGGGGCTGGGCTTCTCTGCTCTCGGACACATAGAAGATGGTCAGGACCACGGCCACCACAGCAAGCCTGAAGCTTAGGGAAGGGTGTAAAAAACCTGTTCACTGGGCAATTGCCTTCCGAGCCGCAAGATAAGGAAGACTAGCGCCTCGGTCCAGAGGGTGGGTTCTTCCACGCTTTTGGTGGATGACTGGGAGGAAACATGATGTGTGCTTGCACCCCGAATTCTGGACGCATCATCCCCGAAGGTGAAACCTAAAGCACAGCCCCATCTACAGTGATTGCAGCCGTCGTAACCTTTAAATGCCTCCAGCGACACAAAACTGCACCTACATTCCTCCAGGAAGTCAGTGCACGGGGGAAAACCAGAATCGTCGGAGAAACTCAGCGCCACACCATGCAGCAGCGTGAAGGACACTTTGAGACTAAGGTCTCCTCGGTCTCCCGAGGTTTTTCACCTCTTGGCTCACTTGGATAAAGCTGCTCGCAAGAAGTGTGAGCAATGAGTGCCACCAGTGGTTGCTCATCTGCAGTCATGCCGAAGGCCTGATGCAGCATCTCGTCAACCCAGCTCGCACCACTTGGCCAATCTGCACGCAAGAAGTGCTCGGATCTGATAACGTGCCACCAGCTAGAATGAGTATGGCTGTTGACCGATGGCTGCTCTTGTCAATCATCCCCGAGTATGCAGACCCCTTCCTGCAATCTCACATGAGATCCCGCAGCCACTCTGCTACATGTCGGAGAACGAGCTACAGCCAACATGAACCTCCAGAGGCAAGACATGGCAAGCTGCATGAAGGTGAACAGTCTCGTTTGCCGGCCCTCACGCTCCGAGGCCAGTGTCCATGCTTAGAAACCGGGATACCTCGCTCTCAGAGGGATCTGAACTGTCCATTGCAGACTTTGTGCTGGGCAGTTCCCGAGCGCATCGCCGCAAACCAGGCTGCTTGGGGCACCCGAAGATTTCAGCCGAGCATAGTGGGCTCGCGACAATCTAAACCTAGCGAAGCCTCTCTTTGATGCTGTTTGTGCATTTCTCCAGTAGGGCATCTACCAACATGAAGGCCCCCATGCACCGCGGAAAGGTGATCTGCGGTACAAGGACCCCAGGAAAGGAACTGAGATTTTGTATCTCAGACCCGGGTCTGGTCCCAAACTCTGCTGCAACGCCCCTGATGTCCCTGGGTGCTAGCTGAGCCTGTGCAGCAAAAAACAAATTGCAAGAAGAGTGCAAGATGTAACGGTATGCGCGCACACACACACAGAGACACACAGACATGCACAGCCGCCCACTTTATCTCCGAGGATGGTCCTGGTGATCCCAGGGGGAGCACAAGAAGCTGCGAGTTTGTACAAGTTGACGTACCAAGAAGCCTAGGCCAATGCATCACTACAAGGAAGCCAGCGGCTACACCTTTCATGGATCAGCCTTCGATTCATTGACCCTTCATTCGCACCCTTCTCGTCCCTAGCATGTCTTCGGGTGGAAGAATGTGTAACTCTGTCCCGGGCCACACAGCTGACATACAAAGATCCGGTTCAGCACACAACGCAAAGCGCTTGAAGTGCATCGCAGGTATTGGCGAATGCAGCTGGCACAACTCCATGATGTCGTCCTGCAACTTCGAACACCACGGGAGTAGCTGCCAGCTCATCTGCTGTCGGACACATAGAAGATGGTCAGGACGACAGCCAAGGCAAGCCTTAAGCTTCGAAAGACGCATGCTTCCCTGGGCTACTCCTTGCCGAGACACAAGACCAGGAAGAGAAGCGCCTCGTCAGACATGGAAATCAATCAGCAGATGTCGTGGCACGACACAGAAGATCTGCCATTGCCACGTTTTGTTGAGACGAAAATTTCAAATCGAGGATATGATACGTGCCACGACATATGCCACTTTCCGTTCTCAGCCTGAGGGAAATCAGCTTACCCAAAATACGTTTGAGACGGATTTCTTCCTCACCTCTGCCGAAACAAAGCTACATTCCTTCGGAAAGCAAGCAGGACCGGTTTCTCGAGTTGTCGAAAACCGACTGCAGCAGCACTGTCACTGGAGACACATCACGGGAGAGTGATCGTTGTTGTACATCTGCATGCGCCCCCCCCCCTGCTGCCAGACTCCCCACATGTCTAGAGGTTTATGAGGTGCCATATGCTGGAGTCTCAATAGCACACTGGCTTTGTCGACACACCGAGTTGAGCTGGATTCTGCGAGTCATTCAGCCCCAGACTATGCAACAGCATGACGGAGACTTCGAGATCTTCCCGCGCTGCTCGACTTCGAGCGAGAACGGCTCCGGACATCGAACCTAAGCACAGTGCACTGTGCTTAAGGGCGAGACCTACCCGAGATGCAGCATGGCTCACTTAGAGTCAGGCTTCCCAGCAGCATGAAGAGCAATGTAGAGCCTTCTCCCTCTCCCAAGAGCTTTTCAAGAGGGGCTGGCTGAACCCTGGTGCCAATTTCCGGAAGCTTGGCAGCGTCGGCTCCATTGTTGCAAAGCTGTGTGCCAAATCCAGCATCCCATGAATCGAGTTGTCGCGTGGCCAGTCTTGCGACAACAATTCCGTGTGCCATGTGGCTTGCGATCTCGACGCGGGAGGCTTCCATATGGGGCACATCCGAACCGTTAAGCTGGATGTAGATTGCATTCGTGGCAAGGTTGATTCCGGCACAGTCAAACTGTAGCTCGAATCCAGCATCTCGTGAACCCAACTGGCATCACTTGGCCAGTCTGTTCGCAGCAGCTTGTCAGCATAGCGTGCCCCGAGCAACCGTGATGGCGGCAGGGTTGACTCCCGCACAGACAACTTGCAGCTGGAATCCAGCACCTCGTGAATCCAACTCGCATCTGCTGGCCAGTCTGTGCACAGCAGCTTGTGAGGATAGCATGCCCCGAGCAACCGTGGTGGCGGCAGGGTTGACTCCCGCACAGTCAAACTGTAGCTGGAATCCAGCATCT